GTCTGAGCTTCGGATGCTCCAGTGGAGTGCAGGTCTCACCCTTCCTAAAACTCATTTGCATGTCAATGACCTATTGTCTGCTGCGATGCTCAAGTGGAGTGCAGGTCTCACCCTCCTAACTCATTAGATGTCACTGACCTATTGTCTGCTGGTGATGCTCCAGTGGAGTGCAGGTCTCACCCTCCTAACTCATTAGCATGTCACTGACCCTATTGTCTGCTGGGTATGCTCAAGTGGAGTGCAGGTCTCACCCTCCTAACTCATTAGCATGTCACTGACCTATTGTCTGCTGGGATGCTCAAGTGGAGTGCCGGGTCTCACCCCTCCTAACTCATTGCATGTCACTGACTATTGTCTGCTGGGATGCTCAAGTGGAGTGCAGGTCTCACCCCTCCTAACTATTAGCATGTCAATGACCTATTGTCTGATGCTGGATGCTCCAGTGGAGTTGCAGGTCCTCACCTCCAAAATCTCATTAGCATGTCACAGACTATTGTCTGCTGGAGATGCTCCAGTGGAGTGCAGGTCTCACCCCTCCTAACTCATTAGCATGTCACTGACCTATTGTCTGCTGGGATGCTCAAGTGGAGTGCAGGTCACACCCTCCTAATCATTAGCATGTCACTGACCTATTGTCTGCTGGGATGCTTCAAGTGGAGTGCAGGTCTCCACCCTCCAAACTTCATTAGCATGTCACAGACTATTGTCTCGCTGGGATGCTCAAGTGGAGTGCAGGGTCTCACCCCTCCATAATCTATTAGCAACAACAAGTTTGTGTAAGCCCTCAGTCGTACAGGGATTAGTCAAAGCAAAGGAAGGTTTCTCACCCATCATCTGTACTTCTTAGCAAGTTTTCCCGACGTTTCGTCCTCAACCTGGGGACTTCTTCAGGGAATGAATTCTCGGACCGCGCGTTGGAGATTTATAACCTATGGGTGTGGTTAGCCACACCCTAATCCTGATACTAACTCATAAACAATCTAAGGTCTGCTTGATGTAGAAGGGGAGCAGGTCTAACGACCCTGCTGAGGCTAACGACCCTAACTCCTTAGCATGTCACAGACCTATTGTCTGCTGGGATGCTCAAGTGGAGTGCAGGTCTCACCCCTCCTAACTCATTAGCATGTCACTGACCTTGTCCCAAGTTAGGGCGCTGTTTTTAGGATGTCGTCATAGATGCGAGGCAAAACAAATCTTAACCCTCCTCCTCTGTTAAGAGAAGGTTTTTGTTTCCTCACAAAAATGGCTTCTTTCACCCCTCTCTCAAACCAATTCTTCTCCCTAGCCAGAATTTTAACCTCTGTGTCATCCACCGTGTGGTTGGAGGCCTTGAGGTGGAGATGAACAGCCGACTGTGGCCCACTAGAGTTTTCTCTACGATGTTGGTAAAGTCGTTTCTGTAGAGTTTGTTTGGTTTCTCCAATATAGTGGTCAGTGCACTCCTCTTCACTACATTTAATTGAATACACCACATTGCTCTGTTTGTGTCTGGGTGTTTTGTCTTTGGGATGCACTAATTTCTGTCTTACGTGTTGAAAGGTTTGAAATACACAGGGATTTTGTGTTGCCTAAAGATTCTTTGTAGTTTCTCTGAAACTCCCGCCACATACGGTAAGGACACGCCTCTCCTCCTACTTTCTTCTGTCTGTTGGACTGTGTCTCTGGCCTTTTTTCGTCCTTTGGGCTTTAGTAAAAGACCACTTGGGGTAGCCACATCTGGAAAGTGCTCTCTGAACATGTTTGGTTTCTCTGTTCTTTCCCTCCGAGCTAGTGGGGACCTGGTGGGCTCGGTGTTGAAGCGTTCTAATGACCCCGAGTTTGTGTTGTAGCGGATGATTTGAATCAAAGGCCAGGTACTGGTCAGTGTGAGTGGACTTTCTGAAGACCTCAGTCTCTAATTGTCCGTTCTCCAGTATGATGACCTTACAATCTAGAAAGGCGAGTTCACTCTCCTTAGCATCCTCGCGAGTGCAATTTATAAAAGGGTCCACCGAGTTAATGTGTGCTGAAAATGGTTCCACTTCCTGTTTCTTTAACTTAACCCATGTATCGTCTACATATCGAAACCAATGGCTTGGCGCTGTCCCTTGGTAAGAGCCCAGGGCTTGTTCCTCCAGTTTCTCCATATACAGATTGGCCACTATCGGAGAGACTGGGGAGCCCATCGCACAGCCATGAATCTGTCTAAAGAAGGTGCCTCTAAATTGGAAATACGTGGTGTTAAGACACATTTCAAGTATTTCACAGATGTGGTCAGCTGTTAGTTTCGTTCTCTCCCCTAGTGTGGCGTCTTTCTGTAGGCTTTCTCTTACAGCCTCCACCGCCTCTGTAATAGGGACCGACGTAAAAAGCGATGTCACATCAAACGAGACCATTGTCTCATCTGTGTCAAACTGGAGGTGTTTGATTTTATTTACAAATTCTTTTGTGTTTTCTATGTGATGGTGGGTGTTACTCACCAAAGGAGCCAGAATGGTTTTGAGGTGTTTAGCCAGGTTGTAGGTGATAGAGTCTATGCTACATACAATAGGCCAAAGTGGAAAGTTTTGTTTGTGTATTTTTGGGAGGCCATAAATACTGGGGATGGTGTCTCCTGGGTAAAGTTTGTAATATAGTGGTTTTTCAATAATGCCCTCTTTCATTAAGTTCTGAAGGAAGTCTATAATCTTTTTCCTAAACCCACTGGTAGGGTCCCTCTTCAATGGCTGGTACGTGTTGGTGTCCAAGAGTAACTGATTAACTTTGGCCTCATAGTCTGAGCTGTTGAGGATAACTGTGCATCTGCCTTTGTCAGCTGGTAAAATAGTTATATTCTCATCCTTTTGTAATGCCAATAATGCTTTTTGCTCATCTAATGAGACATTGGATTGTGGGGGCTTCGCACTTTTGAGTGTGGCAGAGACTCTCAGTCTGAGGGCCCCTGCCTCACTCTCAGTTAGTTTGTTGTTTCTAATGGCTGCTTCTGCTGCTGTGATGTATTCAATTGTAGGAATATCTTTTGGGGTTATTGCAAAATTTAGGCCTTTGGTAAGAACATCTTTTTCCGCTTGTGATAAATGCCGATCAGACAGATTTTTGACCCAATAAGGCCAAAGAACGTCAGATAGGCAAATTTCTAAAACTCCAAAACCATAATTCTTTTCAACATTCTAAAAGTGAAATTGGACAAGGTTTGGACAGGGAGAATTGGCGAAAAAAAGAAAAAGATTGTGGCGCTACTCCCCACGGGCTCCGTTAGCGGCAAAGGAGATGGCTAGGCTAAATGCTAAATACAAAATTCACCTGCAAGAAAAGACATCGTATAGAAAAAAAACAGTCCAAAAACCCTTTTGTATGTAGTAAGAGGATTCTTTCTTACCACGCATTGAGTTCTTTCAATTAGGGCCAATATCGTGTTTTTCAAGTGAGTGTCTTTAGGAGGAGCATCAGTGAAAACGAAAAGCTCAGAGCCAATAGGAGCAACACTAAGAGCCAGCTGCAGGATAAGATAAGATAGACTTTTTTGATCCCAGAATGGAGACAAGATAGAAGGCGTTGAAACAATTGGGATGGTTTAACAAGGTTGTAGTAAAATAAGTTTTTTTTTTCCTTCTCTGCAAACAAATATAAAAAATAAGTGCCTTAAAACAAGATTTGCCAATTAAATCTTGTTTAAAAAAATAATACAAGATATACAAGACACTTTTGGCTTTGTCTCATTGGCATATGTTGTTTTAAGACAGTCAGAATGTACTCAGAAAAAAACAAAAAAACACTTGATTTAACCTATTATCTCATATTTTATCATTTTTTGCAGTGTTCCTTCATTACTCAAAACCTTTCTTACTTGTAATCCAGATAGTGACTTTTCAGGTATATCTCCATCACCATTTGCAGTCAAATTTGTAACTGCGCTTATGAAAACGTTGCCGTTTGTGGTTTTTGTGACTGGTCCAAAACCTGCTCATACAAAGAAACAAACTACATGGATGTACAAACACTAACAAATGTGGTAACGCTAGATTTGTTTTAACCAATTTACAGCTATTTAAGTGCTAATTAGTGTACTCAAACCCTAACCTAGCCTGGCCTTAGCAATTATCATTTCCCTGCCTGTAACGTCTGGGTCTGGTCCCTGTTTGCGATTACGATCGGTTGAATTCCATCCGACCAATCAGTGAGCGCGGGAGGTGGGTGCTGTAGTTAGTTGTTGGTGACGTCAAGAGTTTGCGTCGAACGGGCAGGTTGTAGTTGCGAATGCGATAGTAAAGAAATCCGGGCTGGTTCTGTCAAGAAATTGAAGCCGGAGCAAGAGGAATGTTTAGCAAATGTAATTGCTGGCAAAGATTGTGGCGCTACTCCCCACGGGCTCCGTTAGCGGCAAAGGAGATGGCTAGGCTAAATGCTAAATGCGAACTACTCACTCGGACGCACTACATACGTCACGGTAAACTCAGATCCAATCGTTTCGATCTGCAAAAGGAGTTAACCCCTCCCACCTGTAAACGGAGCCCAATGGAGCACCTCCAGACCTTAGCACGAAATGTCATTTGTACTATGGTGTGGTACGACCAGGCTAGCCCTAACCCTAACGGTCAGCACTAGATCATACATGGAATCGGGACGGAAGCGGAAGTAAATATAACAAACTACTATTCATGCCTAAACTTAACCAGCCATTCCCATAAAATAACCCCAACCCAGCCTTAACCCTAACCATCTTACTCAGACACCTAAAACTTAACCAGTCACCACTTAAGGACTTATTAGTCTAAAACTAATTCGAAAGTAGGATTGTTACTTCCGGTTTCGTCCCAATTCCGTTTATGATCTAGTGCTGACCTAACCCTAACCCACATGGGAAATTGTCAGTTAGTTAGATGTTGAATATGGCCATGTAAAATAAGGACTATTAAATTGCTTGATAAATACAATAATTAACAGTACATTATACACTAATTATCACTTAATTAGCTGTTAATTAGTGAGGGCTAAACTAAGCGTGACTGAAATGGCTTTACCGGGGTCGTTAAAAGGCACCAGGATGTAAACAGAAGGCTCATTCTCAGTCCCCTCCAGCTGCTGTATTGTCATAATTGTGACTAACCGGATAAAGTCAATGTCGAAAAACATGCTTTGTGTTGTGTCAATCACAAAGATGATGGCTTTGCCCAAACCAACTCCCATCATCCTGAAGAAAAAAAATCATTAAAACATGAAAATTAAATAAAATGCAATGATTGTATGATCGATTTTAAGCAAAAACACAAAAGATGTAAATGAATGTTCAGATTATGCTTCTGTGTGGAGAAACAAGCTGTTCCAAATATTACCCATATCAATAAAATCCATAATAAATTGATTCATAATAAATAAATCCTTGTTTGAGGCCAGGACTCCCAGATTTCTGAAATTTCATTGGGACATTCCCGGTTAAATTGTTCAATAGTTTTATAATAAATAATACATGTTTAATAATCTAAACTGTGACTTTGAATACTGATTGTGTAAGTCAGACATTTTTTAAATCTTTTATTTTTTTTTGACGTCTTCTGCGGTTTGTCAATAATGTCTGTACTAGTATAGTTTTACTTATTTTCATTGATTGGGGAAACCGGAGCACCCAGAGGAAAACCTACGGAGAACGTACAAACTCAACACAGAAAGGTCTGGAGGTGGAATCGAACCCAGGACCTCCTTGCTGTGAAATACCAAGCTAACTGCTAACATTCTGATTAGCCAAACCATTAACGTTCGGCAGTTACCGTGGCAACCAGGAATACATTTCCAGCCACCCTCCACCACCATGTTAAACCCTTGTGTCACATGAACCTAATAAATGTTTGCCTTGCACACTACTTCCCACGGTTATTTCTTAGTTTATTTTACCGTAAGAAGTTTTTATGCCCGACTGCTGCGTGTACGTCGTCCAGGAGTTCGATAGAAGCCTCCGTAGCGACTCGAGCGGCTCTTTCATGGAGGTGTCCGTGACTGGAGTTCACACTGTCCTTGTTTATTCCACCGGTGGCATCTGTGTGGGTCGTGGTGTCCTTATTGCCTCCATGACTACATTTCCCTTTATGTGCACGGGAAAAAAAGGCTCGTGAGAATACAAGACGGTAGCAACAAAAGCATGCTTGAATATCTGACCTGTGGGCTTGATATTGGATGACCGCGGAGAGAAATATCCGGAAGTAAGAAGTCTTTCGCTGAGAATGTCTTCCAAAATGTTGCCGGTGCAGTCGTCAGAGCAGTTACGGCATGTGGGTCTGTCTTTGGCTAAAAGATGAAGTCATTTTTTGTTTGTTTATTGTCGATGGGGTGATAAGCTCGTAGCCTGTAGAAGGAGTGGACAATGCTAACTCGCTAACGCTAGCTCAATGAAGCGGGAAGTTTTGCTCCAATTCTTACTTACATTACATTGCAAAGTAAATCCCTCTAGTTCAGTAACTGTCTGTATTTTATTTATTTTTTTGAACTCTTGTCAATCCATCGTCATGGCAGATCCTAAAAAAACGCTTCTTTGTACACTCTGTACTACTATTCTCGTTCTAAAACAAATAACACAACAATATTAAATAAAAAACTATGAGAAGCAATACAAAATCACAAAGAAAATACAAAAACTGTATCCGTATCACACTACCATAGAACCCAGATATAAAAGTATTTGTTGAAAAAAATTATCAGTACTATTTTTTGGAAAGTATCCTTAAATGACCCTAATGTTATTTTTATATTCATACATATGTGCACACACGGTTTTTCCTATTTCATTTTTTTATTATTTTGCTTTTTTACTATGGATTTGTTTTAATTGCACTTAATAATGGACAAATCAGATTCCTTCATTCCCCGGGCTAAACTCCAGCCTTAACAACCCATTAGATAGACACCTGCCCTGCTACGCAAGTGCGTCTACCCATAACAAATGCCATATTTCAATGTTTTTTTACCTGTTGAATTCTCCAAACTGTCTCCACTTTGAATCAGATTTGTAAACGGGTGATCATTCCCCATTTCTACCCAGTTGCTGTGACTGTAGAAATCCTGGTAAGAGACACAAGGTTAGCTTTGGTTCCTTTTTTCAAACCACCTTTTTCACGGTCGGCACAAGATCATGAACGGAATCGGGACGGAAGCGGATGCAAATATAACCATCTACCTAAACTAATAGATCCATGCCTAAACTTAACCATTCCCATAGAATAACCCAACCCACCCTTAACCCTAACCTTAACCATCTTACTCAGACACCTAAAACTTAACCAGTCGACTCTCTACTTCCGCAGTGGAAGTGTGTAGACGTGTTCCTTGGTGCTCCGCTGCTTGCTTTGCTTTGTAATCTCTTTTAATCGCTTTATTTACATTTTTATTCTACAAAACACGGATTACTCCTTCTGCAGACTTCAGCTTTGTGAAATTTGTCTGTCAGTCAGTTAATAATTTTCATGGATGGAATTCGAAATTTGCAAAAAAAAAAATATGGCCATTTGGATATATAGTGCAAACTTTTACTGTCAAGACTCAGCTTAGCAGCTGAACCCTGACAACAACCACAGGATTATTATCACCATAACCACGAGATTACCATGCCATGGCCCATGTTGTCCTTTTGAAATAATTCATTCTGGATTGGAATGATTTTGACTAGTTTCCCTGATGAAAGATCGGTGCATCTTTCTTATTAAAGAAATGAACAACACTGGTGAGTAACATTTAAATTGGAAACCAATCAATAGGTTTTTTCATGGTTTTAATGTTAGGTTGTGCATAAAAAATGCAGTGGTAATGAATTGAATTTGAGTAGATTTTCCTGCTGAAGGATGTAAAGGTTCCCGCATTGAATGTCAAGCTTTATATACAAGAGAAAAAACGTTTGTAGTTTTTTTTGTGTGATCAATCAAGTCGTAGAGCAGTAAACAAGTGTAAATTTTTAAAATGTAGAATTGTATGGACTTTGAATGGTTAGGCCCCAACCAGGGGACAGGAGTTTTGAATTGGCATCTGCAATAAACCTACATTCATCACATCAGCTGCAAGCCTTTTGTTATTATGACTGTGTCTGGCATTGTCCCTGTCAAATAAATATAGTGAATAATTTTGAAAAAGCGGGAACTTCATTTTCAGAAATCAATTCATTTAAACAATATCAGCACTATCCAAACACACAATACATTGTATATCTTTCAAAACACAAATCTGAGAGGGAACACTTAAACACATAAATGCAAACCAACACAGAACCATTGATCCATAAGGAGAAAAAATGGTCCATACAAGATGTAGAATGATTAAAGTGTCCTGGACTCATCACCAGTCCTTTTGTTATACACTTAACTGTCAACAGAACCCTCCTACATCCTCAAGGAAAAACTCTAAAACCCATGGGAAAAAAAGTAGAAACATGAGAGACCACATATTTGATAAAGGGAACCGCGCCTTTACGGAGCGACAGGCATTAGATCCAGAACTCTAAGCTACAGAACAAGGGACCAATGCGCAGGCGGGGACTGGGGCAGCAGAACGAGGACTAGAGGCAGCTCCCAGGCAGGGGTGCAGCCCACAGTCGGCTGAAAGGACAGTCAGCATGGTGCAAATGGTCTCGTCGTCACAAAAACCATGGAAAACAGACAAAGGGACAAAACATTTCATACACTAACGCAAACAGCAAATAACAATAATTTAAACATACGTTCCAATTCCACAGGAGTCTCAAATGAGAGTTTGGTTTAGCTGTGCTCGCGCCACTGTGAGCCAGTCATTCCCTGCATGAGATGTGCACAGATAACGCGAATGAGTTCACAGATCCTGAAGGCCAGTGCGGAATTAACGACATGAAACTTCAGCAGTCAGCAAGTCACGAAGAAACATTTTATGGATCTGTTCCACCTCCTTCAATCCTCCGGACTATCTGTTTTTATTTCTGGTCCAATCCCGACTGTAAGCAGAGGTGACTGCCTCTACAGTCGTGTTGTGGCGCTGCATGTGTGGCTCCAGGCTACATGCAGCTCTTTTAACTTTGTCTTTGTGAATAACTTTGCCCTTTTCTGGAAACGTAACGAAGCCTATCGTCCAGACGGATTACACCCAAACAGATACGGTAGCAGCCTGTTGATGGATTACATACGTTATGTTGTTCAGCGTTCCCCGAGGGGGGCGTGACTGTTTACATCTGAGCCCCCTCGGACCCCACCGCACTCCCCCGCCTCCTGCTCACCAGCACCGGGTGAGTACAACGGTGCAAACACTGCTCCCTGTCCGTCTGGCAGTGTATTACCAGTCCAAACACTGAACTGTGCTGACTCCCTTCTGACTCTGGGAGCTAAAGAACAACAAGGGTTTTCACATTTTAGTCCAATTGAGACTGTGTGTGTTCCTCGCACCAGCTCAAAAATGTTTTTAAATTCTAAAAAACGAAATCAAAACAGGACAGCAGTTAGACGGTCCAACTCTGCAAATCTAATTTCTGTTCCCTGTAGAAATCAATCAACCACATTAATAGACTCTGACGTTATTTTTAAACTTGCTATGCTTAATGTCAGATCTCTATGTAACAAATCATTTTTAATTAATAATTTTATCACTTCTTATGATCTTGATTTTATGCTTATGGCTGAAACATGGCTGGACCAAAATACAGGAAATGCAGTTCTAATAGAAGCAACACCACCCAATTTTAAATTCGAATCCGAAATACGAGAAAACAAAAGGGGGGGAGGCATAGCTGCAGTTTTTAGAGAGCACTTTGTCTCCCATAGAATGCCCCTTGGAAATTTTTCATCGTTTGAGTATATTTCTTTTAAAATGGAACAAAAGCAATCTTCTACTCTTTTCATTGTCCTGTACAGGCCACCACAGTCATGTTGCGATTTTATTGACCATTTTACTGAACTACTTTCATTCGTGTGCACAGATTTTGATAGTTTAGTTATTACAGGTGATTTTAATGTACATGTTGATAATGTTGATGACAGAAATGCAAAGGAGCTGGCTTCTGTATTTGAGACCTTTGGTTTCATTCAGCACGTGAGTGGCCCCACCCACAGCAGGGGGCACACTCTTGACCTGCTAATTACAAAGGGGGTTAATGTATCAAATGTTAATGTAGTTGATGTTGCTTTGTCAGATCATTTCTGTGTATTTTTTGACATGTGTTTTGCTAGCAAACCACCAGCTGAATTTACAACTGTTAGAAGAAGACACATACATGAAAACACAAGTGAACTGTTCATGGGAATGCTAAATTTTGAGAAAACTCCATGCTCTACTGTTGATGAATTGTATAACTCTGTACCACCAGTGTTCTGACTGTTCTGGACGCCATTGCTCCTGTGACGGTTAAAATAGTTACCAGTAAGAAAAAGGCCCCATGGACTAAGGCAGACTCGGTTAGGGCACAGAAGCAAGAGTGCCGGAGGGCCGAACGGAAGTGGCGAAAGTCCAATTTCCAGGGCGATTATGAAATCTTTAAAGATGAGTTGGGTGAATTTAACCGGGTTCTACGTAGAACAAGAGAAATGTATTTTTCTGACATTATTGGAGGTTGCAGTAACAATTTTCGTGTTATGTTTTCAACAGTTGGTAGATTAACGAACCCCCCTGTAAAGTTGCCCCTAGAATTTTCCTCTAAATCTAGGTGTAATGAGTTCGCACAGTTTTTCGATGACAAAGTACAAGGAATCAAAAACACTATCACCTCCACAGCACGTATAACAATGCAACAGCCAGAGAAGCTTTCTGAGCTAACTCACTTTGCACCTGTGGATACTGAAACTGTCAAAAAGATAATCATGAGTCTGAGCTCCTCCACATGTAGCCTGGATATATTGCCCTCTAAATTTCTGAAGTCCGTCCTGAGCAGTTTGTTACCTTCACTGACACAAATAGTAAACATGTCTCTGTCGTCAGGAACATTTCCTATGGCCCTAAAAACAGCAGTCATAAGACCTCTCCTAAAAAGAGCAGTCTGGATCCTGCGGGACTTCAAAATTATCGCCCCATATCGAATCTGCCATTTATTGGAAAAATTCTTGAAAAAGTGGCCTCCCAACAACTTACTGAATTTTTAACAATGAATAATTCTTTTGATATGTTCCAGTCTGGGTTTAGACCCCACCACAGCACTGAGACCGCTCTAGTGAAGGTAACAAACGACATTCGACTTCACACTGATGCAGGTAAAGTCACAGTTTTGGTCATGTTAGATCTTAGTGCCGCGTTCGACACTGTCGACCATGAGATCCTCATGCAGAGACTGGAGGACTGGGCTGGTGTCACTGGCACAGCCCTAGACTGGTTTAGGTCTTACCTGGAGGATAGGAAGTACTCTGTGGAGATTGGAGACTGCGTCTCAGATGATGTGGCCCTGACCTGTGGTGTACCACAGGGGTCGATCCTGGGACCTCTCCTATTTAATCTCTACATGCTGCCGTTAGGTCAGTTAATACAAAGAAACAAAGTGTCCTACCACAATTACGCTGACGACACTCAGATCTATGTCTCACTGACTGCAGGAGAACATGGACCACTGGATTTGCTCCTTCACTGTATCCAACAGATCAGTGACTGGATGCAAAATAATTTCCTCCAGCTAAATACAGACAAAACCGAAATCATTGTCTTTGGTCCCCAGAAACAAAGAGAGGGCGTCATTTGTCAACTTCAGTCTCTCTCCCTACTTCCTTCAGACAAGGTCAGAAATTTGGGGGTAATACTGGACTCAGACCTAAATTTCAATAGCCACATAAAATCAATAACATCAACAGCTTTTTACCATCTGAAGAACATTGCCAAAGTTAGAAATATAGTGTCCAGGGCAGACTTGGAGATTCTTGTCCATGCATTTGTCTCCAGCAGGCTAGACTACTGCAATGGCCTGCTTACAGGTCTGTCCAAACAGACCTGTAAGCAGCTGCAGTACATCCAAAATGCAGCAGCTAGAGTCCTGACAGGAACCAGGAAGTATGACCATATTAGTCCGGTCCTCAGGTCTCTGCATTGGCTTCCTGTGGCTCAAA